CCATCCTGGAGTCTGAGACCTTGTGGGACTCTGTGGTAGAGAAGAAGAATGTATGGGAATTTAGCAAAGACACTGCACAATTAGCCTACTAGCTAGCTATCAACAGAGACAATATAGAAACCTTCCTCCAATATCTCTTCTATCATCATTAGCTATCATGATTTCTATCATTTAGGGTTCAGGCCTATAGCTAGGCCTAGCTATCTAGTTGTTGTGTTATCCAGCTAGCATTATACTAATAATGGTGCTTGCTAACACTAAGAAGATAGCTAGTGTTTCATTGGCGAACGTGCATAAAGATTCAGATATAACGTCATTGTTTTAGCACTATCCACTGAGTTTTTAAACTACGGCGCGTGACATTGTTCAACATGCCAAAAAAACAATCACAATCAAAGCATTCCTCATGAAGCTGATTGAGAGAATGCCAAGAGTGTGCAAAGCTGTCATCAAGGCAAAGGGTGGCTATTTGAAGAATATCAAATATAACATATACAGTGGGGAAAAAAAGTATTTAGTCAGCCACCAATTGTGCAGGTTCTCCCACTTAAAAAGATGAGAGAGGCCTGTAATTTTCATCATAGGTACACGTCAACTATGACAAACAAAATGAGGAAAAAAAATCCAGAAAATCACATTGTAGGATTTTTTATGAATTTATTTCCAAATTATGGTGGAAAATAAGTATTTGGTCAATAACAAAAGTTTCTCAATACTTTGTTATATACCCTTTGTTGGCAATGACACAGGTCAAACGTTTTCTGTAAGTCTTCACAAGGTTTTCACACACTGTTGCTGGTATTTTGGCCCATTCCTCCATGCAGATCTCCTCTAGAGCAGTGATGTTTTGGGGCTGTCGCTGGGCAACACAGACTTTCAACTCCCTCCAAAGATTTTCTATGGGGTTGAGATCTAGAGACTGGCTAGGCCACTCCAGGACCTTGAAATGCTTCTTACGAAGCCACTCCTTTGTTGCCCGGGCGGTGTGTTTGGGATCATTGTCATGCTGAAAGACCCAGCCACGTTTCATCTTCAATGCCCTTGCTGATGGAAGGAGGTTTTCACTCAAAATCTCATGATACATGGCCCCATTCATTCTTTCCTTTACATGGATCAGTCATCCTGGTCCCTTTGCCGAAAAACAGCCCCAAAGCATGATGTTTCCACCCCCATGCTTCACTGTAGGTATGGTGTTCTTTGGATGCAACTCAGCTTTCTTTGTCCTCCAAACACGACGAGTTGAGTTTTTACTAAAAAGTTATATTTTGGTTTCATCTGACCATATGACATTCTCCCAATCCTCTTCTGGATCATCCAAATGCACTCTAGCAAACTTCAGATGGGCCTGGACATGTACTGGCTTAAGCAGGGGGACACGTCTTGCACTGCAGGATTTGAGTCCCTGGCGGCGTAGTGTGTTACTGATGGTAGGCTTTGTTACTTTGGTCCCAGCTCTCTGCAGGTCATTCACTAGGTCCCCCCGTGTGGTTCTGGGATTTTTGCTCACCGTTCTTGTGATCATTTTGACCCCACGGGGTGAGATCTTGCGTGGAGCCCCAGATCGAGGGAGATTATCAGTGGTCTTGTATGTCTTCCATTTCCTAATAATTGCTCCCACAGATGATATCTTCAAACCAAGCTGCTTACCTATTGCAGATTCAGTCTTCCCAGCCTGGTGCAGGTCTACAATTTTGTTTCTGATTTCCTTTGACAGCTCTTTGGTCTTGGCCATAGTGGAGTTTTGAGTGTGACTGTTTGAGGTTGTGGACAGGTGTCTTTTATACTGATAACAAGTTCAAACAGGTGCCATTAATACAGGTAATGAGTGGAGGACAGAGGAGCCTCTTAAAGAAGAAGTTACAGGTCTGTGAGAGCCAAAAATCTTGCTTGTTTCTAGGTGACCAAATACTTTTTTTCCACCATAATTTGCAAATAAATTCATAAAAAATCCTACAATGTGATTTTCTGGATTTTCTTTTCTCAATTTGTCAGTCATAGTTGACGTGTACCTATGATGAAAATTACAGGCCTCTCTCATCTTTTTAAGTGGGAGAACTTGCACAATTGGTGGCTGACCAAATACTTTTTTTCCCCACTGTATTTTGATTTGTTTAACACTTTTTTGTTTACTACATGATTCCATATGTGTTATTTAATAGTTTTGATGTCTTCACTATTATTCTACAATGTAAAAAAATTGTACAAATAAAGAAAAATGCTTGAATGAGTAGGTGTGTCCAAACTTTTGACTGGTAGTGTATATATTTTTTAATAATATATATTTTTTTTTTCTCCAGATTTTTCAGGGGATGCTACAGCACCCTCAGCGCCCCTACTTCCATCGGCTATGGTTGCAGATGTAAATATTACAAATAGAGCTTACATTCCTTATTCTACATGTCAGAGATGCATGTTTGTTCTACCTAGCATATTTATATCTGAACATTCCAAAACCTTGCGTCCTGCTAAACGCGCTTAAGGTCTTCCAGAGGAGGCTTCCAGGGAGAACAATGCCGCTGTAGCATGCCACAAACCCAAGATCTATGCTCCACATAGCAAACTACAGATTTGCAGCATCAGACACAGTGGGTAGAACATACTCCCACAAGATGTTATCAAAGCAACATTCTGTTCAGAAAGCAACAACGGCAAATATGTTTTGCGTCATGTTTAAACCTAAAATGCATTATAATCTTGCTCTCAACCAGTCAGCCATGTTTGTGAAGGGCCAATTCATATGTAAAGTTCAGAGTGCACAGCATGAGCAGACACAACAGGGGTGCATTCAGTAAGACAAAACGGTGTGTTCAATGTTTAATTCAATGGAAAAGGTACTGTACTGAACGACCAGTCGATGAATGCTGTGATTATGGTGGCCCAGAGGAAGTTGTGTGCTGCACGAGTTTTGCCATTTCAAATGGACACACCCATATTGATGAGGCCACATTTTACCACACCCATCAAACGGGAGTAAACGGACCTCAAAGGCTGTTGAAGAACTGTGCGCACCGTTTTGGGGAAACATTTCGTTCAAATCGTCACGCAACGTAGCAAACGTTGAATCGAACTGAACGCACCCCAAGTGTACCTTGATTGGCTTTGAAGCTCACTGTACTCAATGCAAGAGCCAATCAATGTGCCAGGTTCTGGCACAGGTACTGGCACATTTATTGAACCTTGAATTGAGGACAGTAAGTATTAGAGGGTGAATTGGGATTTTGTGATTGCTTACTTTCTCTCATTTTATCCTACCGGTACACAGTCTAGCTGTCTTTGAAAGTAGTCTACGGTAAAGTTAATCGTGTTTTGTGGTATATGCTGCCACCCTCTGGATAAAGGATTAACTGCATTGTAGTTGAATTCCATCTCATTATTTAGGTAGCCTATTATTGAAATACTTCCACAAATTTCTAAAACTGTTTGACATTGTTAAAAGTAAAAACTATGTACTGAATCAATTCAGCTAAAAAGCAGAAAAGCTGGTGCTAATATTTGATTGGTCAAAATGCTGTCCAATCGCAACTTGTGTTTTCATGACGTACCAATTATGGTATGAAAAATGGCGGCCTTGTGTAGTGAGTTTGGTGATTTAGTTCAATTAAAAAAAGAACTGATAGCTGTAATATCGCTTTGTAAAGAAAGAGGACTTGTACATAGCGTGAAGTGGTAAGTAGCGTTCTTCTTGATGTTATAATGATCACTGTATTCCTTTCAGTGTATAATAGCTAGATTTGGTGATCTCACCGTTGTTAGCCAGCTAGCCAAAAGGATCAACATTGTCGTTAATTTCTCTCTTGTCTTGTCTCTTGACTTGAGTCGGAACGGTGCTATTTCATGTCTGATGTGGACAGCCAGAGCCCGGAGCTGTATAGGGCTAGGAAAACGTACCTCAATCCAGGGATGGAATATGTTAGTGTACTCCTAATCATTTTGAAATTATGAAAGGTGAATTGAGAATATTGAAATACTGCTCGTTTTTAATTAAACTGCAGTTTTCGTAAGCATACTAGGCTAGTTAATGCTAAGAAACCCAGTGGATTTAACAACACTTCCACTCCAACACTAAGCGTCGCATTTTTAAAAACATTTTTAGTCATTTAGCAGACGCTCTTATCCAGAGCGACTTACAGTTAGTGAGTGCATACATTATTTTTATATTTTTCATACTGGCCCCCCGTGGGAAACGAACCCACAACCCTGGCGTTGCAAACGCCATGCTCTACCAACGTCCCTGCCGGCCATTCCCTCCCCTACCGTGGACGACGCTGGGCCAATTGTGCGCCGCCCCATGGGTCTCCCGGTCACGGCCGGCTACGACAGAGCCTGGATTCGAACCAGGATCTCTAGTGGTATATGGCTGGGAAAACGTACATCAATCCAGGGATGGAATATGTCCTTATACTCATAATCATCCCTAAATGATTAAAGGTTAATTGAGAAGACTGAAATACTGTTCGTTTTTTTTATTAAACTGCCGTTTTCACCAGCATGCTAGCGTAGCTAATGCTATAGCAGCCCATTAGATTCCATGAAAATGGAATCTCCCGAGTGGTGCAGGCAGGGTGCCTAGACCAGGCCACTCGGGAGATTCCATATTCATGGATTCTAATGGGCTGCTATAGCATTAGCTACGCTAGCATGCTGGTGAAAACGGCAGTTTAATAAAAAAACGAACAGTATTTCAGTCTTCTCAATTAACCTTTAATCATTTAGGGATGATTATGAGTATAAGGACATATTCCATCCCTGGATTGATGTACGTTTTCCCAGCCATATACCACTCCGGGCTTTGGCTGTCCACATTCCGGCATAGTACCATTCTGACTCCATAAAGAGAAGGGAACGAGAGGCGGATCCTTTTGGCTGACTAGCTAGCTAATGATAATTTGCAAGTCTGGCCAAATCTATTTTGTTCAGACATGAAGCCTTTTTATTTTCTTAATACAGGTTCATATTGAATTAGATAACACATAACATTAACCACGTTAGTGATATCACCGATGTTTGTGTGACATTATTTCAGGGCATCAGAGTTGGCATTTGCCCTGGACCCCCTTCCCAAGAATGGCCTACCCCCACTGGCATTTCTTACTGAGGTTTGTGTCCGGTAATAGATAGTTCACAATAATATTGTCCATACAAATGCATGAACAAGCTGCTGATCTTTTTGAATTGATCACCGTTGAATTGGAGGCCATTTGAATGTTTGTTTTGCTTTACTCTGTCTGACCTCCTGGTTGTAGGAGGATGCTCAGGACCTGGATGCTCTTGGCCTGGCCAAGTCCTACTTTGACCTGAAAGAGTATGACCGCGCTGCCTACTTCCTTCGGGGCTGCCGCAGCCAGAAAGCATACTTCCTGTACATGTACTCCCGCTATCTGGTGAGATGGGGTTTCAACATTCACAGTAACATCGCCTTTTTAAAATGAGAATAGAGAATTTTGCCTGAATCCTTGTAACTCCTCCATGATGGCCATCCAATTCTGACAAGCTCTCTTATTTTCCTTTGTTTCCAGTCTGGGGAAAAGAAAAAAGATGATGAGACAGTGGACAGCCTGGGTGAGGAGCTAAGCTTTCTATGCCACCTCAGTCAAAACTTTTGTCTCTAGACAGAGTTCAATGTCTTGATTGGTTATATTTGTTTTGGTCTGTGATTGACTGCAGGGCCTCTGGAGAAAGGTCAGGTACGGAACGAGGCTCTGCGGGAGCTGAGGGTGGAGCTGAGTAAGAAGCACAGTGCTGGAGAGTTAGACGGATTCGCTCTGTACCTGTAAGCCCCTCCCACAGTATCACACACACCCACCCAGTGGACTTGGACATGCCTCACATACATGTCTAGTGAGTCTTTAACCTCTTAAACCTGTAATATGAGTGTGTGTGTGTGTGTGTGTGTGTGTGTGTGTGTGTGTGTGTGTTTACAGGTATGGGGTGGTGCTGCGGAAGCTGGATCTGCTGAAGGAGGCAGTGGATGTGTTTGTGGAGGCGACCCATGCCTTACCTCTACACTGGGGAGCATGGTTGGAGCTCTGTAATCTCATCACTAACATTGAAATGGTACTACACACGTACTCAACTTAAGCAGATGAATGATCTTTTGAACCCACTACAGTAGTTCCCAGATCTACTGGACTACATAACATGGAATATTCCACTGATACTTGCGCCTCCTCTTCATTTCGTCAGCTGAAGTCCCTGTCTCTGCCAGACTGCTGGATCAGAGACTTCTTCATGGCCCACATGTACACAGAGCTGCAGATGATCAAAGAGGCCCTGCAGAAATACCAGAGCTTGATAGAGGCAGGCTTCTCCAAGAGCACTTATATCATGTCACAGATTGCTGTGGCCTACCACAACATCAGAGGTGGGTTCATACTTTGCTTTGTCAATTAAATGAGCAATATGAAGAAACACCTATTATTAACCTTCTCAAGCAGTTCGCACGTATTCTATTCATTTTCAGGTCTGTGCTTCTCTTTGTCATAGATATTGACCAGGCTCTGGCTCTGTTCAATGAGTTACGGGAGCAGGATCCCTTTCGCATTGAGAACATGGACACATTCTCCAACCTGCTCTATGTTAGGGTGAGACCCCACTGCTGCACCACAGTAATGACTGTCTCCATCTGGAGGTCTCTCTGTCTTTATGAACCTGTGTCTGTTGTTTCCACAGAGCATGAAGCCAGAGCTCAGCTACCTGGCCCACAACCTGGTGGAGATAGACAAGTACAGGGTAGAGACCTGCTGTGTCATCGGTAAGGGTCCCGCCACCACACAGAGGACTGAAAGCCACACCTCTCGCAAGTCAACTCCAGACATAAACCCATATCAAAACTCTTACTACGTTCAGTGCAAGACCCAGACCAAACAATGAGACTGAAACCAGACCTTCTAAGAGTCTCTAACCAGCTCTCTAGCAAGTGCTGTGTCTATCCTGTGTGTAGGTAACTACTACAGTTTGCGGTCGCAGCATGAAAAGGCAGCGCTGTACTTCCAGAGAGCTCTGAAGCTGAACCCTCGCTGCCTGGGGGCCTGGACTCTGATGGGCCACGAGTACATGGAGATGAAGAACACCTCCGCTGCCATCCAGGCCTACAGGTCAGACTGGCACTCCACTATGGCATGGCTCATCCTATGGGTATCGGGGGGGTTCAGCCCCATGTTTTTATAGTTCTGTGTTTATTTCATTTGTTCAGGCACGCTATAGAAGTGAACAAGCGAGACTACCGTGCCTGGTATGGCCTGGGTCAGACTTATGAGATCCTCAAGATGCCCTTCTACTGCCTGTACTACTATCGAAAGGCCCACCAGCTCAGGTGTGTGTTTGAGTAAAAACCAAGGGAGAGGGTTCTCATGTGGGTGCTTCTTATCGTGTAGTTAAGTGTATTACCAAATTGTCACACACTGTATTGTGAATGATGCGTCACTGTGACTCCTCAGGCCCAATGACTCTCGTATGCTGGTTGCTCTGGGAGAGAGCTACGAGAAACTCTCACAGCAAGTAGAGGCCAAGAAGGTTAGCAAGAGCACCATTGTATCTCTGTCACTAGTTTTCCTTTTTCCTGTATATTTCAATATAATATTTTGTCACTCCCTGTAAATTGTCAATAACTTCTATTCTTCCTTTTTGGCCAGTGTTACTGGAGGGCTTACTCTGTGGGGGACGTGGAGAGGATGGCCCTACTGAAACTGGCAAAGTAAGGAGATCTTAGCGCGTACTTGTGTGTACCCACTTAATTATGTGTTTTTGAGACTTGGGCCGGGATTCAATCCAGTTGCGCTTTTATTTTTTAAAGGCAATGATTCTGTGTTTGTACAGACCACATTCACTGTAAACGCTGCATATGTTGGCTCACTTAGAAATTACTTTTAAATGTAAAGCGCACTATAACGTGGATCTACCGCTGATCGGGTTGAATCCCGACCACACATTCCCTAACATGTTTTTTGTTGACAGACTTTACGAGCAGCTTAATGAATCTGATGACGCGGCCCAGTGTTACATCATATACATCCAAGACATCTTCTCCTGTGGGGTGAGCAACCTAACTGTCCTCTGTGTGTATATACAGTCAGGTCCACAATTATTGGCACCCTTGATAAAGATGAGCAAAAAATACTAAAATAAATAATACAAATACTGAGCTATATTGTATGTTCCAAAAAATTGGGAAATGTATATAATTTTATAGTAATACAATTGCTCTGAGAAATAGAGTAATAAAACAAATCTTAAACATAGGGGTCAAAATTATTGGCACCCCTGTTTTCAATACAGGGATGGACAACTTTGATGGGGGTGGGGGCCATAGAAAATCAGAACTCGTCATGAGGGGCTGTTGCAGTTTTAAAGCAAGTATATTCTATTGTTCCAACTCGCAACAGACCCCCCCCCCCCCCCCCCCCCCCCTCAGTCTCTTGAGGATTGACCACGAGTTCTCAATGGGATTAAGGTCTGGGGAGTTTCCTGGCCATGGACCCAAAATTTCGATGTTTTGTTCCCCGAGCCACTTAGTTATCACTTTTGCCTTATGGCAAGGTGCTCCATCATGCTGGAAAAGGCATTGTTCGTCATCAAACTTTTCTTGGATGGTTGGGAGAAGTTGCTCTCGGAGGATGTGTTGGTACCACTCTTTATTGTTAGGCAAAATTGTGAGTGAGCCCACTCCCTTGGCTGAGAAGCAACCCCACACATGAATGGTCTCAGGATGTTTTACTGTTGGCATGACACAGGACTGATGGTAGCGCTCACCTTGTCTTCTCCAGACAAGCTTTTTCCGGATGCCCCAAACAATCGGATAGGGGATTCATCAGAGAAAATGACTTTACCCCAGTCCTCAGCAGTCCAATCCCTGTACCTTTTGCAGAATATCAGTCTGCCCCTGATGTTTTTCCTGGAGAGAAGTGGCTTCCTCGCTGCCCTTCTTGACACCAGGCCATCCTCCAAAAGTCTTTGCCTCACTGTGTGTGCAGATGCACTCACACCTGCCTGCTGCCATTCCTGAGCAAGCTCTGCACTGGTAGTGCCCCGATCCTGCAGCTGAATCAACTTTAGGAGACGGTCCTGGCACTTGCTGGACTTTCTTGGGTGCCCTGAAGCCTTCTTCACAACAATTGAACCTCTCTCCTTGAAGTTCTTGATGATCCGATAAATGGTTGATTTAGGTGCAATCTTACTAGCAGCAATATCCTTGCCTGTGAAGCCCTTTTTGTGCAAAGCAATGATGACGGCACGTGTTTCCTTGCAGGTAACCATGGTTAACAGAGGAAGAACAATGATTTCAAGCACCACCCTCCTTTTAAAGCTTCCAGTCTGTTATTCTAATTCAATCAGCATGACAGAGTGCTCTCCAGCCTTTGTCCTCGTCAACACTCTCACCTGTGTTAACGAGAGAATCACTGACATGTCAGCTGGTCCTTTTGTGGCAGGGCTGAAATGCAGTGGAAATGTTTTTGGGGGATTAAGTTCATTTTCATGGCAAAGAGGGACTTTGCAATTGATTGCAATTCATCTGATCACTCTTCATAACATTCTGGAGTATATGCAAATTGCCTTCATAAAAACTGAGGCAGCAGACTTGGTGAAAATTAATATTTGTGTCATTCTCAAAACTTTTGACCATGACTGTACAACACACGTTGTTTACATGCTCAAATGCCCATGTGGGCTTGTTTACGTTGGTCAGACGAAATGCGCGCTCAAATTAAGAATAGCTGAAGACAAAACAGCTATCTGCACCAAAAATATGGACTAAGTGATCGCGTGGCATTATGTGAATGCTAATCATGGCTCAGCCTCGACTTTGAAATTCTGGGGAATTGAAAGTTGTTAGAGGCACTTTGGATCGACTGCTTAGATTGTGTCGAGCCCAAGGGTCTGAATGAACAGCTCTCTTTATCATATTCTTTGTAAATGTTTTTCTTTGTTTATTTCTGTCTTTTGCTATTCAAGTGGAATGTTTGTGTAGGAATCTCGAATGATGGTCATACTCTTGCTTGAATAACCTGTGTAGTTGCTGCTACTACTACTACTGACCGTATTGACATGATGAGTGGGACAGTCCCCTGCGAGGGTATATACTGTAGGTGCCTCCATTTTTCCTATTCAAGGCTCTGATGAAGGCGATTCATGCCGAAACTTAAGCCTATTGTTTGTTTGTCCCGTCAATAAATCTATCAGATTTACCCGGCAACAGTGCTCCTTTTTCTTTATTCTCCCGGATAGTCACCAGTTGAAGTATCCTAGGGTAAGGAATGTTTTGAGGATTTCCTTTTTCTAAAATGTTTTGAGGTTGGGAGGGATCTTAGACCATTCCTCCATACAGAATCTTTCCAGATCCTTGATACTCTTCTGTCTGCGCTTATGGACTGCCCTTTTCAATTCAAACCACAGGTTTTCAATGGGCTTCAAGTCCGGAGACTGAGATGGCCATTGCAAAATGTTTATTTTTGTGGTCAATTAACCATTTATTTGTGGATTTTGATTAGTGCTTGGGGTTATTGTCTTGCTGGAAGATTCACTTGCGGCCAAATGCCAGCCTCGATCAAGTTGTCTAAAATGTCCTGGTAGTTGTAAGAGTTCATGATGCCCTTGACCTTAACAAGGGCCCCAGGGACAGTGGACCCCTATCTTTTTAGATTTTAAAAAAAATAACTTGTTTAATAAAAATAATCTCTTCCTCTGAGCAATTGTATAAAATACTTTTTTGATCATCTTAATCAAGGGTGGCAATAATTATGGACCTGACTGATAGGGATGTTTTTGAGGGTTGTTTTTTAGTCCCCTGTAGCTCAGTTGGTAGAGCATGGCGCTTGCAACGCCAGGGTTGTGGGTTTGTTTCCCACGGGGGGCCAGTATGAAAAATTTATGCACTCACTAACTGTAAGTCGCTCTGGATAAGAGCGTCTGCTAAATGACTAAAATGTAAATGTTTGTACTATTGAATCAGTCTCTATGGCAAAGCCCCCGCTGTGGTTGGAGTTTGTGTGCATATCTCTTCCTACAGGAGCAGCTGGAGCATGCAGAGGTGAGCACAGCCCTGCGTTACCTGGGCCAGTACTACTTCAAAAACCAGCTCTATGACGAGGCGTCACTCTGTGCGCAACGCTGCTGTGACTACAACGACGTAAGTACTGCCTGTACAACCTCGCACTCTTCAAGTTGAACAGTTGTTCTTTACATGTAAAGTATGTATGTTGATAAGATAGATACACGCACACTGCCTGTCCTGTATAGCTAAAGTGTCAGTCCTGTCTGAGGTACAGTGCTGAGTGAGTGATTGGTGTCCTTCCACCAGGCTCGTGAGGAAGGCAAGGCTCTGCTCAGACAGATCTCCCAGGTCAGAGACCAGACGGAGTCCTCAACCACAGACCTGTTTGGACCGCTCTCCTCCAACAACACTCCCATCAGGAGGGTGTCCCCCCTCGACCTGTCCTTCAACCCCTGACACGCTACCTTCACTGTCTAGCAAAAAGCCCTGCCTCACTTTGACTCCATAATGGGACCACCTCATCCTTATGTCATCGAAGAGATTGTTTGCAAATGTCGACCCTTTCTCGCATATATATGCAAATAGCTGTATGTTTACGTAGTGAGGTGCAGGAGTTGCTACCTTACTTTTGAATACGAAAGAATTCTCTGAACCATTAACGGTCTGGAGTGTCATTAGATCAATGGAAACTGCATGGAGAATAAATAGATTTCTTTACAAGATTGAGGAACAATACTGTTGCACCAGTCAACAAAAAAGCTTATTGGGGGGATATAAAGATAAAAGCTGTATTAAGACATTTAAATTGACAAACAATATGAAAGCAAGACATTGACATGCGAGAATGTGATTTAAAATGGATATAAAGTTGTAATATGCAATGGCGCAAGAGTTAATGTGCAAAAAACAAGACACCAGTAGTGTGCATCAGTCCTCATTCAACCTCAACTACAACTAGAATCTCAAACATTACCCTGCAATTTGACAAACATTACTCAATTATTTATTTTCAATCATAATTGTAAATGTGTTATACTCAAACAAGATATGAGAAGTCCTCTCAAACCTCTCATCAGGGACCCCCAGCTGTTCCACGTATATGAACTATTCCAGAGTTAGCACACCTGGTTCCACTTGTCAACTAATTAAGACACTTGAATCAGGTGTGCTAGTTCAGGGTTACAACTAAAATGTGAAACGTCTGGGGGTCCACGAGGAGAGTTGAAGCACTGCTCTACAAAAACACATTTTTGCATTGTATAGGAAGACAGCTTAGTAGTGTATATACTGTAACAACATTTGGAATAAAATAAAGTGACAAATATTTGAAACATGCCATTACAAGTAAGCAAAATAGTACACATTTACAGTTGTTTGATTTGCATAATGTTATAGAATATAAATACAGCATCCTGATTTTTCAGCTCTCAAGTCAGCACTTTGTGACCCTGTACCTTCCAGAGGGGCAGGGACCTGGGGGAGGAGTCAGACGGGAGCGCAGGATCCGTGAGTAGTGTATGGTTTGATCCTCACGGGGGCGTCCCTGTTGGTTGTTTCGTGACGGGGTGCGTTGTGGGAAAAATGAGTGGAAGAAGGGTCGTTTCTCTGGGGGCTGGTTCTCAGTGTTGCCTGCTGCTGCCCCTGCCCCACATCCCCTCTTCTTACAGGAGCCGGGCGTAGCAGAGGGGGGCATCTGCTGCATCTGGGCCAGGCACTCCGCCTTCCTCCTCAGGTCAGCCTTGACCAGCAGCAGGTCATTCTGCAGCTCCACCAGGGTCTGGTCCTGAGGGAGGGCCAGGAGGAGACGGACAGGAGTGGACAGGGTTAGAGAGGATGGGGTGAGGGTGAGTGAAAGGAGGGATAGTGGAAGGAAGAAATGATACCTGGTGCAGTTGTGTTAGTCCCCTTTAGTTTAGTCTTAAACCTGACAGTGGTTTGAGTAACAGGTAGGAAGAAGGGAGAGGGAGAAACAATGAAAAGGTTTTGGTCTAGAGAAGTGTCTACAGATTTAAACATATCTTCACACTGTGGGGAATCAAATGGTAGGGGAAACTAATGCCATCTCCCACCTGGATTTCCAGTTGAATAAGTGCCCTTTCAGAGTAACAAAAACTTCCGATGCAAAGACACAAACTAGCAGCAGCCCAACCCTAGCTCTCTACCTCGCTGCCTAGCAACAAAGTCCCACCCTGGCTTGAGGGAGAATTATATACTTGAATAGACATGTACCTGTTTGGCCAGTGTGCCGTCTGCAGCTGCGAGCGCATGGCGCAGCCTCTCCCCGCCCGTGTTGCGGCAGCATGCCCTCTCTCCAGACTGCAAGTTCAAACCCAGCTTCTGCAGGTCCAGACGCAACTGACGCATGTTCTGCAGGAGAGGCACAAACATGTTCAAACCCCCAGCAACCAAACCTGGTTATAGTGTTTAATACAGAGTGTCTGGGGCAATGTGTGAGGGGAGACTAGGCCCCTGGCTGGAGTACTGACCCTCTGGCCCTCCACCAGCTTGCGGTTGGCAGTGTTGGTCAGGGCGTCTGAGGGCTCTGGTGGTGTGAGCTGCCCCTGGATACACCTTAGCTCTGGGAGAGAAAAGAGAGTTCTAGTTAGAAAGACCCAGGTCATGCTCCAATCAACCCTCTTGTTCCCACACTCCCAATCGTCCTGTCCCTCCCTCCTAACCTTGTTTTTTCTGCAGCAGCTCGGCGCGACACTGGTCCAGCTCAGCCCTCACTCTGCTCAGCTCTCCTGTGGTTGTGGAGGCCAGGCGCTGGGAGCGACGGGGGTTGGGCCCCTCCGACTCTCCCAGGGCCAGGGGTGTGAAGAGGGGAAGGGGGGCTGGCTCTGCTAGGGCTACCCCTCCCTTCTCCAAGGCAGCAGTCAGAGCCACTACCTGTTCATCACGCACCTAGGATGGGTGGGAAGATGGAAAATAATCAACCTTCTGTAGCATGAGAACTCCACTATTTTAAACCAACTGAAATAGCTGATAACTCATCTAAAGACTGTCCTATCCCGCTCACCTCTATTTCCTGGTTGTAGTATCTCTTGAGGCTTTTCTGCAGGTTGTTGATCTTGTCCTCAAACCTCTCCTCCAACAGAGCCCTCTCTGTCTCCAGGGTCTGGCTGAAGTCATTCTCCATACCAGAGATCACCTCCATCATCTCAGAGAACACCTGCTCCCTGATGGTGGCCTCCAGCACCTCCTTCTCCTCCCGCTGCCGCTGCACCTCCCTCTTCAGCACCTCGATGGCCCGCAGCAGAGCCTGAACACAGCACAGACATGACTCAGGCATGCACACTGGTTTAATGACAGTTTAGTTACAGGTCTTCACATGCAAACCAGTTGACTATCTTCACGGGACGGGACGGGGGGGGGGGGGCACATACATCTGAATCGAACATGGTGATGTCCCCCTCTTCACCATCACTGTCATCGTCTTCCTCCATCAGAGTGCTGTCATTGGAGTGAGGCTGGGGCTCCCGCAGCAGGGCCAGAATGTAGGCCACCCGGGTCTTAGTGGACGGCCCATGGACCAGCTGAGAGAGGAGACAGACAACACCCACGCAGGGGGCACAATAGCTTTCAGAAATCTGCATTTTCAAAATGCAGACCATCAAAACAATCGGTGTTTTAAACCATTTCACTTGCGTTCTATATCTAAATAAGTTTCTTTTTTTCTTTGAGAGAGATGAGGGGTGTGCAACTATAGTTTCTCTTCACACAAAATACATTAGTGCAACACATTTGGCAGAAAATAGTTTATCAGATGAAAGAAGTGCAATGCTATTTGACTAGCAGCCACACAAGTAAATTAGATTAGACTGAAAAAGGCATGGTATTTTTTGCAAAAATGATGCATGGCCATCATATTTCTAATGCTTATCATAGTAAGAATGTAGCTAGCAACATTTCTAAATGTTTGCTTGAAATTAATCTAGCATTTTAACTTGCTACTGGAGAAAAACTACACCGGAGGGAGGTATCGGAGAAAAGTAGCCTACACATCAGTCAGAGCCCTGTCTGGTAATTCAATGACAAGAACAAATATATTTTATCAGAGTGGAGAGGTGCAACTGAAGCATGAAATTAGTCCTTCTACATTCATGATTTGGAGCGACCCCTGACTGAAGCCGAGCAGATAGTACAATAAGAAGCATATTAGATCTGCGTTTAACAAAAGGTAGCAAGATATTTTTTTTCTGTATTTTCTTTCCTTTTATGCGCGCTAAATCCTACATTAACACGACCCCTGCAAACATCACAACTACACCCACTGACCAGCTCTCTCTGAAGCTAGGGCTGTGTAACTGCAAAGTTAAGGTGAGATGGGTTTGTACCTGTGTGGCGATGGCAGAGAACTTGAGGGCCTGCAGGATCTCGTCGTAGGTCGAAGCACAGGGGTTGATGTTGACCACCATACTGGAGCGCCCGCGGCCGCAGAAGAAGCCCTGCAGCACTCGGGTCAGTTTACAGTCTCTGAACGGCACCACCTGAGGGGCTCGTGACCTGTAGGGACAGGAGAATGGGTTCATCAGAACAGCACATTTCATTTCATGTATTTTATGAATTCCTGTTTTGGCATAGTGTGAGTGTAGCCTACTTCTTGCTCTGGTTGTGCCTCATAGCAGCGATACAGCGGCCCAGGGTGTGGAGGGAGGTGTTGATATTGTTAGCCTCCTTCATCCGCTCCCCGTTGCGCTGGTCCTTGCAACGCTCTGAGCCAGCCAGATCACAGACAGACAACCTAGTGGGAGAGAATCACTATTACTAATGCCAGGTCACGGACACTCAGGATAAGACAGTGGGCCAGAGAATGAGAGCCCTGGATGGGACGTACTCGCTGATGTGTGTGGCCTGGCCCTGGTCTGCCTCTGGGTGGACGTGCAGGATCCGGATGGAGAAGATGCTGTGGCTGCGGCTGGAGTTGTGGTTGAGATGAGTGCTGGCAAAGCTCTGGTTCCTCCGGCCAGCCCTGAGCACTTTCCAAGCCTCCTCTGCACTGCAGACCTGTACCCAGGTGAGGTCTGCACAACACAAACAGCAGCAAAACTGTCAGTAATGTGAACAAACTATAACAAAAAGCTCTCCAATATGATCCGCATAATAACGATTAGAGACCGTTCTCTTTGTGAATATGAATGTGTGTGTGTTACCTTTCACGTAGGGGTTCCCCTGCTTGTCATCACTCAGCCGCAGAGTGGCCCTCTTCTTGGGCTGCAGGGAGGGCGGAGCATCCAGCAGGTCGTACAGGAATTCGTTGTAGATCTCGTAGAAGGCCACCCACACAGAGAACTGCACCCCCTCCTCCAGCTCCTCCCCTCCACTGTGGGACAGGCTGTCGGGCTCCAGACACACACTGTCAGAGTCTGCTGGGAGCGAGAGACAAGGGCATGTAGAGCAATGGCCACGCAACCTCCAGGATTATACAAAAGGAAAACACTACATATTCCCAATGCCTATATAATAAGCAGCTTTGTAATGCTGTGTACATGTTTTATAGGCCTAACTCTAGACTTCGCTTCAGGGCCCACCGGGCGCCAGAAAGCCAAGTTATGTTACATTCAGAACATTACCCTCTAGCTGGGTGGCGATGTGGCTGGTTATAGAGAGTCCACCGATGCCGCTGTCCCAGGTACTGGTGCCGTCACGCATCCGAGAAGTCATGCCATCCTCCTGTGATAGACACAGGGAGTAGTGCACGTGTCATCACGTGACTTACAGCAACCTGACCGTAAAAGAACGCTCATCTAATACTTTCACACTTCAATTTCTGACCTGTGCTCCCAGTCTCCCTCCCTCACCTCTTTGAGCAGAGAGTCTCTGCGGATCTCCTCGGCCCGGACCTCACCGACGTTCAGCTTGCGTACCTCTTGGTAGAGGACAGGCTTGAGGTCCATGGCCCTGTAGAGGCGGCCCTGCAGTTTCCTGAACACAAACACCAGGGCTCTGGGCAGGAGACCCGCCTCTCGACCCACTCCTACAGGGGAAAGGTCACGTCAGTGCTCTGTGATATCTCCACTGTTAATATGGTCATATACTTACCAAACAGATAAGCACACTGCAGTAAAAAACGTTTGCCTTTCTGTGGTACATCAACAATCCAATCTCACCCTGAACAGTGTAGGTCTTGCCAGAGTTGGTGACGCCGTATGTGTAGAGGAGACGGCTCTCTCCACGAAGAACGTCTCTCACCATCTCCTTCATGGTGCTCTCAAAGAAGTCCTGTTGGGTGGTCTCCGGACCAAAGATCTGCAGAGGTGCATATGAAAAGACGTCAGTGAGCATTGTGAACGTGTATATTACAACGCATTATGTGTGTCATAGTAAAAGTCTTTCATCGCTCAGGGCGTTTATGAACGTGAATCTGTTACCTGTGAGAAGCTGAACTTGTGCATGCTCTGGGCCACTCCCCTCTCTGCACTCTTCATGTTCTGGGAGTCTTTGGGGGCTTTGAGCATCAGGCTCTCTTCGTTTAGCACACACACACAGCCCTGAAATGAGATGAAGGAAAATGACACGTCTTGACTTGGAGAATGTCATAATGACAATAGAACAATATGTAATGATGAAGGGCAGATCTTACCTCTTCCTCTCCCCTTTCCTTTTCTCCCTCAGTCAGAGGGCGGATACGCAGAAACACCCTCACTTTGTCAGTGCTCCCCTCATCACCGTTGCCTTGTCTGGCCACTCCAGGCTTCACCGACGCTTTCTAAATATTGGACAGATATTTGTGACAGTACTGAACTTCTGTGATGAACAATTGGGTCGTATGTATTGTTGAACATTTTCATACTATAGACCTATCACTGATCCCCTTTGTGTAAATGAGCGACACACTTTGAAAGTATCAATGGAAATATGTGTTTGAGGTGCAAAAATGTTTATGAATGAACAAATGACAAGCAAAAATTACATATAGGATTGATAGGTCAGGCAGAGGGTCAGTATGGCTCTGAGCATTTCAGAGAGAATGGTCACTAAGCAAATAGTTTGTGTAACTTCTGACCAGAGGATAAAGGATTAGTGTTTGTGTGTTATAAAGCTCTTATTGTGAAAAGATGGGCTATCTCATTGCTATGTGACAAATCACTGGAGGGCATCACACCTAATAAATAACTGTCTAGCATCTACCCTAAAGCCTTTTGCAAAGAAAGGGTCACAGTCTGGGAAAACTCAAACACTCACAAATACTGTCCAACTTCACAAACATATTAACAGCTGTATCAACTGTAGCAGAAGATTCAGTGACAAAAGCAGTCACCAGAAACAAGCAGTCACCACAATGTAGTGTTACTTTCACTGATGTACAGGTAGGCCTGTAATAAAGGAACCTTAGATATATTTTGAGTGCAGTGTTATTACTTCAGAGTTAAGGCCTCTCACCTCTCTTATGGATGGCCGATGTTCTAGCCCCGGGGAGATGATGGAGATCTCAGGCAGAGTGACTCCGTTCAGTCGGCCTCCGATGTCAGCTGCCGTGGATTCAAACACAGCAATGCCATCTTCCTCATTAGACAGGACTCCACACGGAGATGCCATAGACAACGCCATAACAACCTGTTGGGTGACTGAATTAAGATTATGGGATCACAGAGCTGTCAAGGGTGAATGAAATCTACATCAACACGTTTTCCAGGTTTACTTAGCTAGTTGGTGCAAAGGGTCCACTTTCATATATACAAGGCAATCTGATTAGAAGGGGACCTTGCATAAATTGAGGGCCAAAAGTAAAGACTGGTGTTTATTCTAGAGGGTTGTTATCCCAGTTTGTTCTCAAAAGTGGTTTAAATGTCCAACCTCATATGTTGTGTAGTCAGTTAAAGTTATTTCCATGCCTCAATCCCAAATGAAAGGATGGCATTATTACTTTTAGACATCTGAATAATGTAGCTACAGGCCTGTTGCTGCAGAGCTGAAAACGTAGCCAAGATTTTTGAACCCACATAAAGCAATCCATTGGCTGGCTTTGTTATTGGCAGGTACACGCAAGCAGACTTACTGGTTTGTTTAGCTAGCTAACGTTGTAAGTCCCCCGGTAGCTAACATTAATAGTTAACGTTAGGTAGTTAATCGTTTCTTAATAAAAATTACACTAATTAGCTATGTGTTGCATCTAATTTACAAATTTAATGTAACTAGCTAGCTAGGTTACATTCCATTTTTTTCAATTTGTCTCGCTAGCTAGCGGATTAGCAAAAACAAGCTATCCTAGTAGTTGCGACCGTAGAACATTTTGTTAGCTAGTTAGCAAAGCCAAGGACCTTCGCTTCAGGCAGCTTTATCAAGTCAATGCTGAATTATTTACCTCGTCAGTCGCGGGGATGTAACTGTTTGAGCGGCGTCTGTGAGTTATCCTCGTAAATGCAAAAATCTAACTTTTTAAACAGAAACAACTTACTCTATCTAGCCATGAAACTCCACCTGGCAATGCCCATTGCTAGCCTTTGTGCACAGCCACTTCCCTCAAGGCGTCCACTGATTCAACCAATTCAAACATCGCGCTTCACGTGCACAACCAATCACAGGAGAAAGGTTACACAGATGCTGACCAATACGAAGTTCGTGGCTACAGACATAGTATTCTATTGGTCAACTAAAATTACTCAAGAATGCGAATTTAGAAAGTGTTTATTTTATCATTTGAATGTTTTAGTTATTTGTGGGTTATGCTATATCTACAAATGTTCTAGTACTGTTATCTAGGAAAATGCCATTGCATGGACACTTGTCCGGACCGGTTGTAGTCCAGGACTATGACTAGGTTTAGTCTGGTCTGGGTCCGAAACTAGCCCTATCAAATCTAAGGGGGAACTGCTGAAAGGGGGAAAACAGTGATTGTGTGGTTAGCGAGCAAGAACACTATGTGCTGTGAGTACAGGGATGGGATTTCTGCCACAAATGTAGCAATTAGGGTTTGAACAGAAAACTTGAACCAGGCAGCATCCCTGTAGGCAAATAATAAGCACACGGCCCCTGTAGGCAAATAATAAGCACACGGCCACACACCACCTGTGCCATATGTCCCGACTCCCGACCTCTTCCATACAGAGAGGAATAAAAAAAAAACAATATTCATTGTACACAGGCCAGGGTATCTATCTAATTAAAATGGAAATAATTTCAAGAAGATGGAATATCAATACAAGGTGAGCATTTATTTAATTCACAAAAGATTGGAGGATGCGGGCATCGATCCCGCTACCTCTCGCATGCTAAGCGAGCGCTCTACCATTTGAGCTAATCCCCCGATGTGTCGGTAGGGGACCACACGAGGTTATAAACGTATAATTCTCAGATACATCACTATGGCGCTGTATATAGTTCAGTTAATGTACATATTAGTTCTACACAGCGGCATCCGCAGTGAGTCTACGCAAAATCAATATTTCCCTTTTTCATCTGAATGATCTAATTTGGTTTATACTGTACTGAGTCAGATTGGGTGGGTGGAGTAATTGTATGACAAGAAGATGGCGAGCGGGGTTGGAAGTGAGTAAATGAGCCTGCTGTCAAATTAGATACTGTAAATGCTTTTTAATGCATGGCAACCAAGTGTTCATGAACCGTTTGCACACGATAGTCATGTGATTGATCTAAAGTTAGACGGCTTTGCAAATCGGTGAATTCTTACTAGCCTACCCCTGCTAGCACGAGCTTTGAATGAATGGCTCACTCTTCTCTTCGTTAGCTGACCAGTTAGCAGAAGCTCGCTAGTTAGCTATAGTAAGTCACCAGCAAAACATTGCTAGTAGGTGCTTGTGCGTATTTGTGCGGAAGTTCATTGTTTCATATGTCCGCTTAGAAAGGTGTTGATATGGGTGCTTCATGACTTTTGAAACATTCGTAGGGCATTTCGTAACACTGCTCTCAAGGTGGTAGCTAGGTCTAGCTAGCGCAACATTTATTTTCAACCCCCCCGTACATGGGGTAGAGTCTTGGTATTCAGTGTGGCCTAACCTGCTTAGTTATTTATCTGAGAGCTTCTTTCATAATTGTTAGTTGACACAATGGGATTTGTTTTGCAGGCTCTTGGGACATGCTGACCTGTAAAATATTATGTGATTACCATAAATTGTTTTTTTTTTTATATTACCTGTCCTGACTAATAAGTGCCCCCCCCGATCCACTCCTTATCTGCAGAACACAAGTTGCTTGCGATGGGGCCAACGGAGCCATGGTCGGTGAGGGAGAAGCTGTGCTTGGCCACCTCTGTCATGAAGAGTGGGGACCAGAACTGGTAATGCAGCAGGCTTGTCTACCTACATCATGTTACTGTACCTATTTTTTTGGACAGACCAGTCGAATCTTAGCCAGCCACCAACTTTCACTGAGTAAGACTTCCATGAATGGAAACAAGCAATAGGCTAATTGTCCCCAATTGATTATGTGAGGAAAGATTTTGGAATAGCACTGGTCAGTCGAATAGGAATTGTGATGATGCAATAATAGGATATCTACACCCACAGGGTGTCTGTCAGTCGAGCCATCAAACCATTTGCAGAGCCAGGACGACCCCCTGACTGGTTCTCACAGAAGGTAGGATATGCTTCTAGATGAACACCATGGACAAACAAGAACCTGATGATAGCATCTGAAAGATATTTGTCTTTGGTGCCCACAATGCAGTAACCTTATGGACTCTTGCCGAAAGGGTTGATTGAGTGAGATAGGTGGCATGGGTCCTTCAACGTTTCCCCTGCATTTAACAGCAGCACACCACTATATATAATTTTGTATTTTTTGATAATAATTTTTGGGATGGTTAAATGTTTTCAGTGTAAAGTTAAACAACTAAAACCAGATAAAAGTATGTAGAAAATGTAATTGAGCAATATATTTTTTTAAACAAGATCATCTTTGAGAACTAACAATCAGCAAAATAAATACTAGACAGTCAGGGAGATTCTAAAATATAAAAAAAAAATGTGCAACTCAATATTAGAAAGGTGTTCTTAATATTTTGTACACTCAGTGTAAATGCAGCCTGTTGAATTAAAGGAAATAACTGCCTTATTCTTCTCTCTCCCTATCTCTCTTTTCATATAGCACTGTGCCTCCCAGTACTCAGAACTCCTGGAGACGACAGAGACTCCAAAGTGAGCACAGCAGTAACTGTTATGTTGATGTATTTTCCTGTGTGTGGCTGGATCTGTGATGATTCTTCTGGTGCATTTCCTATGTTCAGAGGGGGTTGGAGAACATGGATAGTGTGTTAGTCTGAAGGGGGCAGGCATTGGTTTATGGATGACACGATCTTGTCTGGATGGTTTATGTTTATGACACGGTATCTCTCACCAGACGGAAGCGTGGTGAGAAAGGTGAGGTGGTGGAGACAGTGGAGGATGTGATAGTCCGCAGGCTCACGGCAGAGAGGATTGATGAGCTGAAGAGACTGATCAAAGACACACAGGAGAAGCACAGGTACACAGACTTTGTGTAATCTCTGATAGAAGTGGGACTATCTACTCAAGAGACTCATGGCCTTTAGTAGATCTTTGCTGCTACTTTATTGACCCAACTCTGATGTCAGTTGTTGATCTGCTGCATTCACAGGAAGCTGAAGAAAGAGGCAGAGCTGATCCAAGCTGGGCACCTGGACTCCAAACTAGAGGAGCTATGGGGAGAGATTGTGCAGTATGAGACTTTCTGTTACTATTTCTGTATCTAATTACCTGTCTATTTGTATTTTTCTGAAAAATACTTTCTGTGCCTGTCAGGAAGAAGAAACAGGAAGAGGAGGAGGCAGACATGAAAAGAAAGGCCACAGATACAGCCTATCTAGGTAAAAGATAACCCACTTCATGCACACCACAAGCTGCTTTTGCCTGTAGCTTTTCTTTATCTACTCAGTAAATATAACAGTATTTCCTGCTATTGCTCCTTCGGCACCCCTTTGTATCAGTCTTATTGCAAACCTTGTAGAACTCAATATACCAGGTAGTATACAGGTTGATTCAGATTTATTTTGTGTTTCTTCAATGATTCAATATACCCACAGGGGATGTTGAAATAAAAATCATACGAAGGGGTTTGGATGAGGAGCTCTATCAGAAAGTATATCTAAGGCTGAGATAGATTTGTACACAGCCACAAAAGGTGGTCAAAGTAATTAGTGGATCAACTGTAGTGTGATTGGTCAAACTAAGAACAGTCTCACCCCGCCGCCCCACCCCCCTTCCAGCCAGACAGGCGGTGAAGAACACCCCTAAACGAGTGCCCAGTGTGACCGTGCGCTCTCCCCCGGGGTGCGGCTCGCCAAGCCTCGAGTTCTGCCAAGGGGACACACCCCAGAACACACCCGAGGACCCCAGCACCTCAGTGACTGTGAGTCCCTGTCAGCTACAGGGGAACGGGGCAGGGGCAGGGGCAGGTAGAGAGATGATTGGAGTTCAGTAAAAACATTCTGTTTTTGTCCATGTCAATTTGATGTGCTGCCACATGCTACACAAAATGCCTTTTCCTCGGTCTGCCTGCCTCTCTCCCATGTTATATCCCTCCTTTTCCCTTTTCCCAACTTTCATTTTCTCCCCTCCTCTCCGTAGGCCCCAGAAGCAGCAGGGTTCATGCCCCTGACTGAGGCCTGTGGGCTGGGTGGTGCAGAGTCAGGCCTGGGCACTCTTCTGGATGACTCCCCACAAAAGAAGATCTTGGGCCAGAAAGCCACGCCACCACCATCCCCTCTCCTCTCTGAGCTACTGAAGAAAGGCAGTCTCATACCCACAAGCCCCAGACTGGTATGTCTGAGAGGAAACACTGTATTATGCCATAGGGATTGTTCACTTCCATAATATTTAAAAACGTCCAAATGTAACTACCCATAGCCATTTCAACATCTTAGACTCATCGTCAGATGATTCCTGTTGCAGTTACAGAGTGCTGTGTTTGTCTCATAGGTTGGAGATGGTGACCTGCCTGGTAATATGACAATAGCACATGACCTACAGCTCACAGCCTCCATTCTCCCTGGCTGTCTAGCAACAGGTACATATACCCACTCACACTTATGCTTTTGCATAAACACCCAGCAGAAAGCTTGCTTCTAGAATGTTTGCAGATGTGTACCGGTCCATGTTTGTGTTTGCTAGACTTAGGTAATCAAATAGTTAAAATGTAGTATTGCTTAGCGTGGCATTTGTGACTAGATCAAGGCTCTGTACGCTGTGTGTGTGTGTCCGTGTGCGCTAGGTGCCCCTACACTTTCTCGTCTGCTGGAGGCTGGGCCTCAGTTCTCAGCTCCGCTGGGCTCCTTGGCCAGCAGCACAGACTCCTCCAGTGCCCTTCTCACAGCTGCTGCACCCCCCACTATGGACTCCCCCGCCTCACTACACACAGGTCTCTCCCGTTCCCTCCCTCCCTCTCTCTGCTTCTACACTGTACAATCACAGATCCTCTTCATTCTTTCTTCGTTACTTCCTCCCCAGCATCTTTTCTGTGTCTGTCAGCTGACCGTCACACTACTGTACGTGGCGTCTCAGTCCATCTCATCTCCGACATGAACGTGAAGCACATCACCATGATCATGTCCTCCATCTGTTGTCTTTACGCAGAGATTGAATATGGATCATGTTATAAGGCTGTTAATACTACCTGTGTGTGTGTGTGCGTGTGTGTGTGTATAGGAGGGGATGAGGTAGAGGCCTCCCAGCCTGGCCCAGGGGAGGGTACAGAAGAGGGTCTAGTGACGGTGCCCTACATGGGAGATGAACTGGACCTGGAGACAGTGGGGGACATCATCGCCATCATCGAGGATAAGGTGCTCGTCCTCCGCCTCACACACCTAAAAACATTGATTGATACCTGTTCTGCAGGTAGCCTAGCGTTTAAGAGTGTTGGGCCAGTAACCAAAAGGTCACTGGTTTGAATCCTCGAGCTGACTAGGTGAAAAATCTGTCTGTGCCCTTGAGGAAGGCACTTAACCCTTATTGCTCCTGTAAGTCACTCTGGATAAGAGCGTCTGCTAAATGACTAAAAATATAAAAATCAAGTGACAGGCTCTGACCTCTTTTGTCCTATAGGGTGATGAGAATGCAGAGGCTCTGGATGCGGCTGCAGTGGAGGCCGCTCTGTCCCTGTGTGAGGAGACGGGCCACGCCCTGTCTGGCCCCTGGGAGCCAGGCCCCTTCAAGCCCCCTGAGTCTAACCCTGCCACCCCTACCAGGGCCCCACAAGCCTCCTCATACCCCTCCCTCCACGGCAGTCTGGAGGTGAAGAGGGAGGTCCTGGAGATACGGGGTGGGGCCTTTGCATGTGACAGCCAGGACAACTGTACCTCAGGGTACCCACACCCCCTGGGCATCAGTGGCCTTCCTCCCTCCTCCTGCTCTTCTATGATGCTGGAGCACAGCCAGGCTATTGGCGCACGTCTGCAGCATGGGGTCATGGGCGGGGCCGATGGGGAGGGAAGCCCCGTCTCTCCCCATGTTACCATCAAGTGTGAGAGTGAAGAGTGGACGCAGCAAGGAGCTGATACACCACATGCAGGTATACACCCACTCATAGCCCTGGCACATCAAACTGACAGTCATACAGGTGCCAACACCAACCTGTTATGTTCTTAGCATGACTTCCTGTTTCTCTCTTTTCACTTTCACTTTCTCCCTCAGACTCTGAGGGTGACCCCATGACAAGAGGACACTCCAAGGTACACGTCCCACTGAGGAGAGAACAGGGGTCTTGTGCTGAGACCTGTTATTCTTGTGTTAGAACAGGGGTCTTCAACCTTTTCTTGCCAAGGGACCCCCGCCAAGGCAAACCGGCAACCCAGGGACCCCCATCATAAGTTAGCAAAAAAACGTTTTTCCACATGTCCTGTCTTATCATCAATCAATCAATCAAATGTATTTATAAAGCCCTTTTTACATCAGCAGATGTCACAAAGTGCTTATACGGAAACCCAGCCTAAAACCCCAAACATAAGCAATGCAGATGTAGAAGCACGGTGGCTAGGAAAAACTCCCTAGAAAGGCACTAACCTAGGAAGAAACCTAGAGAGAAGCCAGGCTCTGAGGGGTGGCCAGTCCTCTTCTGGCTGTGCCGGGTGGAGATTATAAGAGTACAAGGCCATTACGGCCAAATTGTTCTTCAAGATGTTCAAACGTTCATAGATGACCAGCATGGTCAAAAAATAATCACAGTGGTTGTAGAGGGTGCAACAGGTCAGTACATCAGGTATAAATGGTGAATCATCAGATAATGATAATGGCAAGGAGAAGTAATCAGATCGTTTTTTCATTAATTTGACATCCCACACATGATAATTGGAAGAGGAAGTGTAAACTCATAACACTCGCAGGTGCTTTTTCAAATCCAGTGTGAGATACTCCAATGAGTGTAATTTGCTCAATATTAGGAAGACAAAGGATTCTCCTCTTTTCTACTGTAGGTATCTAACTCAGTCTCTCTCCCCATCTCTCTGTACCTGTGTTGCATGTGAAGGAGGAAGAGGAGGGGGTGAGCGACGGAGAGGAGAGGAGTGCCTCAGAGACTAAAGAGGGCCTGGATGGGGGGGATGAGGAGGGGGACGGAGACGAGCCGGAGGCCTTCCTGTCGGAGGCAGAAGGGGAGACGGAGCTGGAGCCCCCAGCCAGTGAGAGTGAGGACAGCTATAGTCTGCACACAGCCTCTTCCTCTCTGCAGCTCCACACCACCGCAGACTCTATCCCCAGCAGCCCTGCCTCCTCCCAGTTGTGAGTCACACACACACACACACACACACACATACACACACACACACACACACACACCACCAAGCATGTGTATATCATGTCAAAACTCCTCTCTTTCTCTCTCCCCTTCTTCCTTTGCTATGCAGTTCAATGTGCAGTGAGGACCAGGAGGCCATACAGGCACAGAAGATCTGGAAGAAAGCTATCATGCTGGTATGGCGAGCAGCCGCCAATCATAGGTAACAATCTCACTCATGAAACCCAGGTCTACAACAGGACCCTGCCTGCACCATGCACCATGCCTCTCATTTCAGCTTCTGAAAGTGATGTCCATGCTGTTTTCCTGGTGCAGGTATGCTAATGTCTTCCTGCAGCCTGTGACTGATGACATTGCCCCGGGGTACCACAGTATTGTGCACAGGTAAGCACTGACCACTGACACAGGGGACAGGTGCTTTCTCTGCTGGCTTGGTCTCCCCATTTAGTGTATCTGTTGGACAATCTGACCCCTCCTTTCTCCTCCACCCCAGGCCCATGGACCTGTCCACCATTAAGAAAAACATTGAGACAGGTCTGATCCGCACCACGGCAGAGTTCCAGCGGGACATCATGCTGATGTTCCAGAACGCGGTGATGTACAACAGCTGTGACCACGACGTGTTCCACATGGCCCTGGAGATGCAGAGGGACGTCCTGGAACAGGTCCAGCAGTACCTGGCCACACAGCTCATCATGCAGACCTCCGAGTCGGGCATCAGCGCCAAGAGCCTGAGGGGCCGGGAGAGCACCCGCAAACAGGACCCCTCGGACAAGGTGCTCCTCTCAGTGGGACCGCACGGGATAGAGGGTCTTTAGATAGGAATGAGAGGAGAGAGTAGGGGGAATGGAGAGTCTAGGAGAGGAAAGGAAAGTGAGGATTTGGGGATGAAAGAAGAGACGGATTAGGGATCCGTTTAACTGTAAAAGGAAATGACATAAGTCTCTTACCTTTGGAAGGCAGCTAGACCCTCTCCTAGATTTTATAGGAGGGTACATGTATGTCAGCCATGGTGTCTTCCTAACGCATGATCATGTGCTTTGGTGTTCATTTGATCCATTTCACCACTGACATCCTTCACTATTCTCCATTCTGAGTTGCCATGGATGGAGACCATACTGTTGGTGGGCTTCATGGGCTTAGATGGTGATAAACTCATGATAGTAGATAGGAACCTGACTCCCTCAGATAATACTGCTAATACTGTTGAATTGCATTACAGACAAGAACACAAAATAGTCAAACACATGCACTGCACCCATACCTGTGCAGATATAGCGACAACGCGAGACAAAGATCACTGCGAGTCCACGCAGTTGAAATCAAATCAAAGTTGATTTCTCACGGGCACAGGATACAGCAGGTGTAAACAGTGCAGTGAAATGCTTGCTTGCAAGCTCTTCCTCAACAATGCAGTAATACTAAGTCATATGAAAGAAATACACACCAGAAACTACACTATATACAAGATCAGTACCAGTACAGTGCGAATCAATGTCAGAGATACTAGTGACAGTTGAGGGAAGGCAATGCATATGTAATCCGGTTCAATTTCTCTCAACTCTCTCAACTGGCAATCTGATACACACACACACACTGATATTTTCTTTCTTTCTTTCTCATCCTTCATCCTTTCACGGCCTCTGTGTCTACACTTGTGTGTGTTGGCTTCATTGATCTGTGTGTGTATCTGTGTTGTTTGTGTGGGTGTATGTGTGTGCGGTGTGTGTGTGTGTGTACCCCACTTCATTGCATCAATGTGTGTAAAGACATAGCCATGGCAGCACTCCAACCTTGTGTTCCTCTCCAGTGTCTCTGGCTGGTAGATAGTCTCTAAGCAGGAGAGAGGGTCAAGGTTTAGGGGGGTTTAGAATGAGTTATTTTGGATTTAGTGCAACAGATCCAATTTGTATTATAGTATTTTTAAAATATTTATTTTAGGGGGTGGATCATCTTTAATATTGCATATAGATTGTGGCTTCTATCAGAGTAGTTGTCTGCATCATTTCCAATCCCCCTTATGTTTAAAAATAATAATATATATATTATTTTAAATATGTATTTTTTAAATATATTTTCCTTCCTTATTATTTGCCCGTAACCCTACCACCCCTCCCTTAATTGGAGTAAACTAATGGACAACAACACTTAGGCTTCTACTTCCAGTTTATACATACTATATGCATTTTACAGACACAGTATATTTTACATTAGTTATCTTTTGTTTGTTTTTAGTCCCATCCTTCAGCTACCCTCAACCCCTCCCATCCAGGTTTGATTTCTAGCTGCCATATATTTTCTCACTGTGCTGTGATGTTTCACAAAAGTTCTGAACCTTTCTATTCGCATAGTTTCTACAGATTGTAAATTAAAGAGAAACATTTTTGGTAAGAGTATTATATTATAGTATTTCAAACTCAAGTATTTTTGCAATGCTACAGAATTTCACATATGGCCAAAAGTCACATGATACATGTTGTTGCATATTGCAGTTCAAGTTTTAAGATGGGATGCTTATATTTAGTTCATCACAAAGGCTCCAACGATATCTTCACAATCCAAGTGAGGAATTGGTTCCCCACCTGTATTTAAGTAAAGGAGTTGGGTCAGTTCTTGGACCACTCCTGTGAGAAGATGGGTCCTGCTTCATTATGTGTTCCAACAGGTTTATATTTTATACGGTATTTAGTGTCCATGAGTAGTGGTGTTCACTTATTTTATACCCTCATGTTTTTTCTGTATACGATAGACCCATCAGAGAAATTAGGTGCATCTTTCTTTAATGCAGTTCTCTTTTGGAGTGTGTTGTCAGTGTGTCGTCAGTGTGTCGTCAGTGCGTGTGCTCCACTGCTCCTCTTCTTTCCTTGTTCTGTGTCTTTGTTCCCTCTCTCTGACTATCCTCTGTCCTCTCACAGGACAGTGTCCCCATGGCCTCTCCTGCCTTCCTTCTCTCTCTCTTTGTAAGTACCCAGTCTGCAGGTTATGACCTGTCAAGACTACAGCTAGGGTATTTGCATTCTGGCCCCAGGTCAGATTGAATACTTGCCTGACGACTCATCCTGAATTTGATTTCGCTGCTCTATCGATCGCTCCATGCGTCATTCTGAACCTGCTACCCTGGAAGTCATTTGTGCTGATGTCAAAATGACGTGATTCGTGTAGGCCGGCTCTGGCCCAGCCCATCGGTTTCTGGGACCAATCAGAGTGGTCAGAATGTGTTTGCATTCGAGAAGCAAATCCAGACTCATCGTGGAGGAGAAACGTTAGTGGGCGTGGCGTTTGGCCGGAGCGATATGGATGGGTAGGCAGGCAAATTGAATACCCCTGCTCTATAGTATTCTCTTTTTTACATTTCCTCTCTTTCTCTCCCTCTTTCTCTCTCTCACACACACACACTCCTACAAACACATGCAGGCATAGATACAAATTGGCTTGCTTACTTTCATGCACACAAGCTAATTGACACGTGTTTGCAAGTTGCATTGAATCTAAATGTTGAACCATGTTTCCTATCATGTTCAAACAAACACTAAATATGAGGGCCAGTCTGTCCGGTGTTGTCTAGGGTGATGGCTAGTTTTTGGACCAGACTTAACCCGTCTCCTCTCTTTGCCTTTACAGGATGGGGGCACCAGGGGGCGCCGTTGTGCCATAGAAGCTGACCTGAAGATGAAGAAATGAGCTGCAGGGGGAGCACCTGCAGATGACTCTGGATGGAGGATCCTCTATCCATGGTCATGTCCCAGTTGATTAAGGTACTGAAGGACACCACAGTCGGGGTCAATGTCGTTTCATGTCCTCTCACTTCAACTGGACATGGTATGTCTCGCTGAGAGCAATACAATTCCTGAATTGCAGTTTAGAGTAAACGCAACCCCAGCACTGAGAAACACAAACTCCAACTCCTGAATCGAGTCCCCTCTTAAAATGAGCAGGGCATTGTGACGTAGATAAACTGAGCGAGGAACCGTTGACTGGATGAGATGATTAGGGTCGTACTGTACGTGTCTGTCAACACAACTTATATACCTTGCATTGTGTATGTGTTTCATGTTTTTAAGTTCTTTGTATAGTATTGTACAGGCATGTCCCTTTATGTACATATGGTGCCTTTTTAAAGGCAATGAATGTTTCAAAACAATAAATATTTGTTGCAAGATTGTGGTCCCCCAACTTAGCAAACCAGGTAGTGTGTGGTTTTTGTTTTAAAGAAATCCAACAAAAAGGACTAAGGCCGGAGATTCTAAGGCAATCTGTTCGAGCACTGTCGACAATAAGCTATTTAAAGGCAATATTCCCAAGTTCGTGGAGACCGCATTTATGGTAAACGCTGCATGTCAGCTCAAGCGAAAATTACCTTTTAAAATGGCACATTGTCGACAAGGTATGAACTAACTGAATCCCGGCATAAGCTCGGGTGTAACACCAGTGTATATACAGTGCATTCGGAAAGTATTCAGACCCCAGCGTCGCTGCACAGCTATTTTCAGGTCTCTCCAGAGATGTTAGATCGAGTTCAAGTCCGGGCTCTGGCTGGGCCACTCAAGGACATTCAGAGACTTGTCCCGAAGCCACTCCTGCGTTGTCTTGGCTGTGTGCTTAGGGTCGTTGTCCTGTTGGAAGGTGAACCTTCGCCTCAGTCTGAGGTCCTGAGCGCTCTGGAGCAGGTTTTCATCAAGGATGTCTGTACTTTGCTCCTTTCATCTTTACCTCGATCCTGACTAGTCTCCCAGTCCCTGCCACTGAAAAACATCCCCACAGCATGATACTGCCACCACCATGCTTCACCGTAGGGATGGTGCCAGGTTTCCTCCAGACGTAACGCTTGGCATTCAGGCCAAAGAGTCCATCATGGTTTCATCAGACCAGAGAATCTTGTTTCTCATGGTCAGAGTCCTTTAGGTGCCTTTTGGCAAACTCCAACCGGGCTGTCCTGTGCCTTTTACTGAGGAGTGGCTTCTGTCTTGCCACTATCATAAAGGCCTGATTGGTGGAGTGCTGCAGAGATGGTTGTCCTTCTGGAAGGTTCTCCCTTTCTCCACAGAGGAACTCTAGAGCTCTGTCAGAGTGACCATTGGGTTCTTGGTCACCTCTCTGACCAAGGTCCTTCTCCCCCGATTGCTCAGTTTGGCCGGGCGGCCAGCTCTAGGAAGAGGCTTGGTGGTTCCAAACTTCTTCCATTTAAGAATGATGGAGGCCACTGTGTTCTTGGGGACCTTCAATGCTGCAGACATTTTTTGGTACCCTTCCCCAGATCTGTGCCTCAACACAATCCTGTCTCGGAGCTCTACGGACAATTCCTTCGACCTCATGGCTTGGTTTTTGCTCTGACATGCACTGTCAACTGTGGGACCTAATATAGACAGGTGTGTGCCTTTCCAAATCATGTCTAATCAATTGAATTTACCACAGGTGGACTCCAATCAAGTTGTACAAACATCAAGGATGATCAATGGAAACAGGATGCACCTGAGCGCAATTGAGTCTCATAGCAAAGGGTCTGAATACTTATGTAAATAAGGTATCTGTTTTATTTGTAATAAATTTGCAAACATTTCTAAAAACCTGTTTTCGCTTTGTCATTATGCGGTATTGTGTATAGATTGAGGACATTTTTATTTATTTAATCAATTTTAGAATAAGGCTGTAACATAGCATTTGGAAAAAGGGAAGGGGTCTGAATACTTTCCAAATGCACTGTGTGTGTATATACAGTGGGGAGAACAAGTATTTGATACACTGCTGATTTTGCAGGTTTTCCTACTTACAAAGCATGTAGAGGTCTGCAATTTTTATCATAGGTACACTTCAACTGTGAGAGACGGAATCTAAAACAAAAATCCAGAAAATCACATTGTATGATTTTTAAGTAATTAATTTGCATTTTATTGCATGACATAAGTATTTGATCACCTACCAACCAGTAAGAATTCCGGCTCTCACAGACCTGTTAGTTTTTCTTTAAGAAGCCCTCCTGTTCTCCACTCATTACCTCTATTAACTGTACCTGTTTGAACTCGTTACCTGTATAAAAGACACCTGTCCACACACTCAATCAAACAGACTCCAACCTCTCCACAATGGCCAAGACCAGAGAGCTATGTAAGGACATCAGGGATAAAATTGTAGACCTGCACAAGGCTGGGATGGGCTACAGGACAATAGGCAAGCAGCTTGGTGAGAAGGCAACAACTGTTGGCGCAATTATTAGAAAATGGAAGAAGTTCAAGATGACGGTCAATCACCCTCTGTCTGGGGCTCCATGCAAGGTCTCACCTTGTGGGGCATCAATGATCGTGAGGGATCAGCCCAGAACTACACGGCAGGACCTGGTCAATGACCTGAAGAGAGCTGGGACCACAGTCTCAAAGAAAACCATTAGTAACACACTACGCCATCATGGATTAAAATCCTGCAGCGCACGCAAGGTCCCCCTGCTCAAGCCAGCGCATGTCCAGGCCCATCTGAAGTTTGCCAATGACCATCTGGATGATCCAGAGGAGGAATGGGAGAAGGTCATGTGGTCTGATGAGACAAAAATAGAGCTTTTTGGTCTAAACTCCACTCGCCGTGTTTGGAGGAAGAAGAAGGATGAGTACAACCTCAAGAACACCATCCCAATTGTGAAGCATGGAGGTGGAAACATCATTCTTTGGGGATGCTTTTCTGCAAAGGGGACAGGACGACTGCACCGTATTGAGGGGAGGATGGATGGGGCCATGTATCGCGAGATCTTGGCCAACAACCTCCTTCCCTCAGTAAGAGCATTGAAGATGGGTCATGGCTGGTTCTTCCAGAATGACAACGACCCGAAACACACAGCCAGGGCAACTAAGGAGTGGCTCCGTAAGAAGCATCTCAAGGTCCTGGTGTGGCCTAGCCAGTCTCCAGACCTGAACCCAATAGAAAATCTTTGGAGGGAGCTGAAAGTCCGTATTGCCCAGCGACAGCCCCGAAACCTGAAGGATCTGGAGAAGGTCTGTATGGAGGAGTGGGCCAAAATCCCTGCTGCAGTGTGTGCAAACCTGGTCAAGACCTACAGGAAATGTATGATCTCTGTAATTGCAAACAAAGGTTTCTGTACCAAATATTAAGTTCTGCTTTTCTGATGTATCAAATACTTATGTCATGCAATAAAATGCAAATTAATTACTTAAAAATCATACAATGTGATTTTCAGGATTTTTGTTTTAGATTCCGTCTCGCACAGTTGAAGTGTACCTATGATAAAAATGACAGACTTCTACATGCTTTGTAAGTAGGAAAACCTGCAAAATCGGCAGTGTATCAAATACTTGTTCTCCCCACTGTATATGTGTATATATATATATAAGAGAGTTCTATTACCATTTTCATTGTTTTATTTTACTAGCCCTGCATGTTGGAGCTCAAAGCCTAAGATTTTCACTGTACCCTGCAATCACACCTGTAACCCTGTACATGTGACTCTTAAACACTGAATCAGTATGAAAAAATGTATGCACTCACTAAGTGTAAGTCGCTCTGGATAAGAGCGTCTGCTAAATAACTAAAATGTAAATGAATCTGAATTAGTAGGAAATGGGTGAGAGTAATAGCATCAGGAACCAAAACAAAAGCTCCCCAGAGACACCAAGGGATTTTTTAACATTTTATTAAACCAGCTTGAAAACCTGCTCTGGCAGCACAAATCAACTGGACACCAGAGTTTAGCCAAGAGGCCACTGGGTCTCCAGTTAGCATCAGGTCTATTCTGTAATCCATTACTGCCCCTTCCCCATCCTGCTGGTCTGCCACTAGTCATTAGTGTGGCTGTTAACCCTCCGTCTGCTGGATTTATGATCTGACTAAAGGAAGGTCAAGCGTTAAAATATTTAAATTATTACTGAACAAAACCTAAACATGTTTAAAGGATCTTTAGTAAAGTAAGTCGATTACATGAATAGGGAGGATGTGTGGATTGCTCAATAGTATTTTACAGTGTAGCTGTTGACTGAGCACCTGATGTTTAACACAAGGACATGGATAAAATATGCATGCATCAGGGACGTAGGGTGGCAGGTTCAAAATAAAACAGCATCAAAATGTGCTCGAATGAACCAAAATGACCAATGGACAATAAATACAACTACAGCAACGCTGTTTGGCAAAGTCTTAATGCACAGCAAAATCAAATAAAAACAGATCAATGCATCAGTCTTCACATAAAACAGACATCCGCAGTTAAATTGTAAGTGGATCTAATATGCTAGAGATATATAGCTCTTGCCATGCTTTGTTTCTCTAAACAGCACGGCAAATCTACACATTTTCCTTCACGGTTTAAGACAATATAGATCTGTCTTTTCAAATAGAATCTCACGTCGTTTGCCTCTCTATCTGAACCTTTTCTAGAAGTTAGTGGCTTTCAGGTCCTTGCCTTCTTTCTTCACAATTAAAACGTTATTTCCAATTAAAAATTAACTCACTGCTCTAGCTATGTTCTTTCCCAAGACCTACTCAATATACTCCAATTTAACTCACGCCACAGAAACCAAGATCAAAATAAATGAGTAACCACCAATGCTAAACATGCTTCAAATAGGTGACTAACAGAAAGTGTACGTGTGAACAGAACCATATTCTCAAACCTTGTAAGCAAGCCCATATTCCTTAATGTAAGGAAGTAGAAACAAGGCTCCCGTACATCAATACAACAATCCCAGAGCCAGCCAGGCTGGGCTTCATGTTATCTACACAGAGCCAGGGTTGGCAGCTTACAGTATATGCGCCTCCACTTTCTTCAATCCGAGAGGAGGCGGCACAATGTTTCAATTCAAAACGGCTTTGGCTGCTACTGTGCTCTAACCAGAGGGAAGAGACAATTCTTCAAAAAAGTGACCCGATTAAATAAATAAAATAAATAAACAATATTAAATGAGTAAAGTGTAGAATTCCCAGCTGGAAAGAGATGCCTCCCTCTCCTCCTGTCTAAGCCCCTCATTCTCCTCTCTGCCGGCCCACAAAGCGGTACAGCTTGTCACAGTTGTCCAGCTTCAGAGACTCAGCCTTCGCCTTCAGTCTGTCATCACGGTACAGTTGTGCAAGGTTCGCCAAGTCCGACTCTGAACGAGGATGGAGGAAAAACATATCAGCTAATATATGGATAAAATTCATACTCTGCAACATGAATAAACCATGCGTGGCTGTCTCAGTCAACATGTCTCCAGTTGGGCCAGCACCAAGCTGCCAGGATCTGACTGCAGCTGGACTTACTCTGCTGTTTCTCCTTCCAGCAGGTGCTCTGCAGGTGTTCAATGTAGTCACTCTCTATGGTCTTCTCCAGCTCCTCCAGGGACTCCCCATGGTACTCCTTCTGGAAGCCCTTGTCCACATAGTAGGGCACACCCATATTCTGGGTCTCCCGGGAGACCACCAGGCCCATGGCCCTGAAAGACAAACATACAATCAGTCCCACTACAGGCAGACTTATAGAGGGTAATCCCCATCACACCTCACCCTCTTAAGGGTCCTCATGCACTCTGCACCCAGCAGATACCATGGAACTAGTCTGAATGAGGTTCATATGCAGTCTACTTTAGAGACAAACATGTCATCAAGAAGCTTGGTTGATGTGGTGGACTCACGGTTTGTAGAAGAGACTGTAGGGAGGGTTGGTGGCCATCAGTTGGGTCACAACAGATATGAGGATCAGCACCAGAACAGGAAGAAGCTGCAGGAAGGCTGTGAAGGTGTTCTGCTGAGGAAAGGTAAAACCAGAAGAAAATGTTCAAGCAAAAGTTCATAACACACCATATACCAGTACCTGTAAATACATTTAAATCAATCTGCAGTAATGTTTCTAGGACCCTCTTGGAGCAGCATACGGTTCTCATTTCTATTGCAGCACTGCATAGAGGGAAATAATATCTAATGGCACAAACGATCAAAAACCCAACCTTAAGGAATGGTGGCTTTAAATTTAAAGCCCAGCATTCATTGTGAGCACATAGGGAATACATACGCTGTAGCCATGTGGGTTAAACTGTACGCCCATAGAAAATCAGCTGTAGCCCTGTTGGTTAATCACACAGCTACAGAACATCTATGATGTGAACTGGTGGGAGTTTCTAGGAGATTCCTCATGTGGGCACTGACTGACCGGACTGCGGTTCTCCTCCACCTCCTCCTCGCGCCTCTCATATGCACGTCGCCGACGAGGCTGGTAGAAGTTAGAGTAGGTGGCTCCTCGGTTTGTGTACACATGGATGTTGCCTGAGGGAGCAGAACATACTCTTAACTACTATGAAACAACTGCCAATCCAAAATTAAAGCAACAAGAGAGAAACGTACACAAACACCAGCTCTCTCTTTCAGACACATACATGCACACACTTCCACCAAGGTTATTATAGTTGTGTTTTTAATTTTTATTGATATTCGTTTTTACATTTTAGTCATTTAGCAGACGCTCTTATCCAGAGCGACTTACAGTTAGTGAGTGCATACATTTTTGTTTTGTTCATACTGGTCCCCCGTGGGAATCGAACCCACAACCCTGGCATTGCAAACGCCATACTCTACCAACTGAGCTACACTGGACTTTTCAATGTTTATTAGAAATTTGAGTTCAGTTTTAGTTTGTTTTCAGACTCGATTTACTAGTTTTAGTTTTAAGGACAGAAAGTAGACTAGTCGTAGGAGGCTAAGAGACGTTTCTGTTTTGTATGCCTATCATTTGTGGGGATGTCTCTTCTTGCCACTTGGGGGCAGTAATACAAATTGATATGTTAGGTTTAAATTATAAAGTCAATCTCATTGTGATTTTAAATAATTAGTGCCTAGACTGGTGCAAGAAATATGGATGAAAACTTGCCCATGTTTACAATAATCCAATGCTTTTTCAACTTTAGTAGTATATGTAAGAAGAATCAAGTACCTTTATCTGAAAGAGAGGAAAAACAAAACAAATGAAGTCATGGCACATTTGTTAGCTATAGTGATAGTGATGCACTAGTCTCGGAAATCCCAGACCTAGGCAACAGCAGCGCTAGGTCTGGGGAGGATGTCGGATTCTCTTGGACATTTTGAAAGGGGGAGAAGAAGAAAAAAATTCAGGGGAGGGTCCTCTTCAGACAGACAACTCTCCCAACAAATCACGAGTTTGGGTAGACGGGCCAGAATGTCACAATTAGAAACCAAAGTTTGCAGGCAAAGCCTTTGCACTGGTTTTAGTGAAGGTAGATGACGCAAACTAGCCATTTGCTAAATGCACTCATTAAAAATAACCTTTGCATTCTCCAGCTTGCTAGCTAGATACTATGTTGTGTCTGGCGGGGATGTTTTACACTTGGGCAACAAGCGGATACGGCGGTGATGTCACTGGTGACACTTCGTCCCATTTCCGACTCCTCCTCTCTGTCCCAACTGATGCAGGCACTTCTACAGAGGTGTATGCAGGAACATTGGTACACTGTGGGTGGCTACCTGTCCGTCTAGAGAGACTAGTGATGCACAAGCTAGGTCTATTTGAAACATCGCCATCTCCTGGCAGCATTTACCCGCCAGATTCAGAAGCTTGAAAACCCCACTGAAAAAAAGAAGCTTAAACCCTATTCGATTTGTGCCCAAAGTTTAGAAGAAAATAAACTAAAACTGAACATAATTTGATGTTTCTTTAATTTTACTTAGTTTCAGTAGTTTAAAAAATGAGTTTCTTAATTTTATTTAAGTTACAAAAGTTTGTATGATTAGTTTTAGGGCTCTATTTAATCTGTATCGTTGAAGCGTTACAGATTACGCAATATAAATGTAAAGGTAATTTCCGATTGAGCTGACATATGCAGCATTTACCGTGAATGCAGTCTCTGCTAACGTGGGAACATTGCCTTTAAATTTCAATCACGCTGTAAAGCTGAACTGCAGCGATACGGAATTAATCAATCCCTTAGTTTCAGTTTACTATAATAACATTGACTTCCACACAAACACACATATCTTACCTGTGGGAAATCTTCCTCCAAAGAAGATGTTGAAAAGTTCTTCAGGGGAGATGTCAGCCTCAAAGTCCCTGTTGAAGTTGCGGTAGTGTCCATGGCGAGCGTGAGCGCTGCCCTCAGAGGGAGCCTGCTCTCCGTACTGGTCATACTTATGACGCTGCTCAGCATTGCTCAGCACCGCATACGCATTGCCTATGGCTGCAGAGAACCAAAATACTTATCAGGCCTATGATTGATGCTCTTGGTGTGGTGTTGTCTGACTCGATGCACAATAGCGTGATAATTAAGGAGCTAGTTATCTGCACCAGCAGTTCCACAATGTACAGTGGCCCTATTTATTCATCTATTTTTTTATAATATTTTTTTTAGCTCACAAGATCATCTAATTTGACCAGAGGAGGAGGAAGATGTGAATCAGATGAGTCCTGGATCAGGTCAGGGGAAACACAGCAGTAACAGAGGCATCCCTTTACCTTTAAATGCATCTGTGGCTCCCGGGGCACAGTTCTTGTCAGGGTGGAACTTCAGTGCCAGCTTCCTGTATGCCTTCTTCAGATCTTCATCACTAGAGTCTTTGGGAACGCCAAGGATCTCATAGAAGTCCTTGCATTTCTTTATCCTGCATGGATCAAACACCACAAAGATGAGCATGACATCTGATACCACAAAGGTACAATGTGCAGTTGCACTTTCACTTGGTGGACACCTTGACAAATGTAGCGAAGATCTATAAGTGCTCAAAATGAATGTAGGCCTTATCACGCAGGTACCTGAGAACACCCTGACGCTGATCCTCTGTGTAGGTCTTCTTCTCCTCGTTGCATGCTTCCTCTCGATCCCCGCCCTCGTCATTGGATCGAAAGCCACGCGGCGGGGGTATGTGGGGCTCCTCTGGAGCAGCAGAGCTCCCGTTCCTCACTATGGCATCAATCAGCACTGAGGGAAGACGGAGAGGTCAGGCATGGGGGTAAATATCAATAGAAGAAACAGCCAGTCTGGTTAGGCCTAACTTTTGGTGTGTAAGTAACATTATGTACCTGAAACATGTATTTCCCTAACCTAATACCTTCTTGTCTTCAGAAGATGAGTTACTTACACTGTGTGTACAAAACATTAGGAACACCTTCCTAATATTGAGTTTCACCCCCTTTTGCCCTTAGAACAGCCTCAATTTGTCAGGGCATGGCAAGGTGTCAACAGCGTTCCACTGGGATGCTGGCCCATGTTGACTCCCGCAGTTGTGTCAAGTTGGCTGAATGTCCTTTGGGTGGTGGACCATTCTTGATACATGCAGGAAACTGTTGAGCGTGAAAAACCTAGCAGCGTTATAGTTCTTGACACACACACCGGTGCACCTACTACCATACCCCATTCAAAGGCAATTAAATATGTTGTCTTGCCCATTCACCCTCTGAATGTCACACATACACAATCCATGTCTCAAGTCGCTCTGGATAAGAGCGTCTGCTAAAATGACTAAAATGTAAAAAAAATTGTCTCAAGGCTTAAAAATCCTTCTTTAACCAGTCTCCTTGCCTTCATCTAAACCAGTGGTCACCAACTGGTCCATCACCAAACATTTCTGTAAAAAAAAACACGATAAAGTCTTGCGCTCCTATTTTTTTTTATTCGTTTCGCGCTGTCGCCGGGAAGGCAAAGTGTTCCCATTTTGAACCATTTCATGTTTCTGAAGGTAGAACTCCCTCTACCCGGCAGCCCCAGAGAGCAAATCAAGTGCACCTATAGGGCTACCGCTGGCCAATCAAATAGCTCAGATCCCCGTGTCTGCACAGTTTTCAAGCCTTAGACTGTAAAAAAATAAAAATAAAGGGGAAAAAAAAGCCTTGAACGCGCAGCAAAGTTGATACTGTGCGATTTCAAAACCATCACTAGAGAATACAGCAAAGAGCTGCTGTTTTTATGAGTAAGTTCATGTTTAAGTTGTTATTCTGCACTGTCAACACTTTGTTCAACACTTTTATAAGACATAAAATGCTACAACCAGCACCGCAGCTGCGATTAATGAGTATAGCAAACAGCCAATTTATGCTTGATCCGAAAATATCGGAGGCGCCGTATGGATGGTGTGACGCAATTGCGAAGCCTCCGGATGCACGACGAGGCCTAATTGAGCTCCTGTACTGCATGCCGTGCGCCTCTCAAATGTTGGAACAAAGTGGAGGGCTCTGTATAGCTCCGCATTGACATGATTGGTTGATTGTAGGTGAGAGCGGGAGGTCCTGTATAAACACAAACTCACTTCCTTGACAACAGCTCTGCTGCTGCTTGGCAAAGCACAAGAAGTAGGAATGCCCTGAGTTCTGCAGAGGCCATACCACCATGAATGCTGCACGGCCAATGCAGATGTCGGAATGACCATGCATAGCCTTTAATTGTTCTGATAAGCTTATGTTGTTATTATTAGCAGCTTGTGTCTTTTTTAATATCCTGGAATATTTCACTTTCTCTGGTCATAGGAGTAACATGAATTGGTACATGAGGCTATACAGAGCTCTCAGCATTGTTACAACATTTGGGAGGTGCACGGCAATGCGCACTCTATTTGGCCTCTGCGTTACACCATCCCATACAGCGCCTCTGACCACATTTTCGGATCAGGCATAAATTGGCTCTTATGTTTCGCCATCAGCTGGAAGACTGTCTCCTTTTCTCAGCAGAGGGAGGGAGAGACGGTGAGAGGCAGCCTCACTACTGCTCCCTCCCCTCAGATGCAGGCCATCAGTCCAGTAAACTAAAAACTAAAAAAGCATTATGCTCAGTTAGCTGTGCCTTACACGTAACATACAACAAATTATCTATTACCAGTGTGATCAACATTTTTGAAATATAATTTCAAAATGGTTTTTAAATAATTAATGTTGCATAGGCTTACGTTTAAGTCATGTTAAAATGTGTTTGACTCTGTGATCTTCACTCAAAAGGTTGGTGACCAATGATCTACACTGATTTAAGTCGATTTAACAAGTGACATCAATAAAGGACCATACCATTCACCTGGTCAGTCTGTCATGAAAAGAGCAGGTGCTCCAAATGTTTTGTACACTCAGTGTATGTTAATAATAACTAACCAGTTTGGCTGGCTGACAGCTGCACCTCCAGGTTGAGTAATAACACGGCAAGTTAATGAAAGAAACATGACTAGTTACAATAGCTATACATTGTAGTGTGGCCTACAGGTTAGTAAAAGTACATCCACTTACAGGCACAAACACGCTATCAAAAAATATTATTTATATTATAAGCCTTACCATGTTGTAAATATTCAGATGACATGCATAACAAATTTGCTGATTCGAGCATACATTATGCAATTCACATTCACAAGATACAGACGTTGCACTTTCTATTTTAAACATTCAAGTTGGCAAGCAAGGCTAACAAGACGGCCATTACGGGACATTTACCTCTGGCCCGAGTGCTGGGAAATATTTTCTGGGCTTCATACAACAGTTGAAGGGCTTTTTCTCTCCGCCCTGACCGCAAGCACAGCTTTGCTTTCTCTATCAAACGATCTGATTCCGCTTTATCCATTTTGACAGCTGTTCGATGGCTAGCTACTGTAGCTAGCTTGTTACCGTTAGTTTATTCTCAGAGGCCTGCAACCCCAATTAGCTACAGTCGCTCGCTACACAAATGCAGTTGACTGCCTGAAATTTTAAGAATTTAGCTAAGCTAGCTATCTTATGTTCGGAAGTACCTGTACGTTGTAACTTATGTCAACTCAATTAACGGTAACTAGCTAGCTTTGTTTACATCCAGATAACAAGCTAACGTTAGCTAAGCTAGCTAGCAATCGGTTAGCTACGAGATTTCGCCGTAACTATCAGGTATCATAGCGATGATGACGACTGCAACAAGTCGACAGACAAAACGGAACTAGTAAAAACCCATGCATGACTGAGAGAAATGAAATAACGACATTATTCAACTGGCTTGGTCTGTTTCAGGTTCTTTACCGCGACACTAACCAATCACTTCCGGGTCACGGAATTTTGGAAACGTTCTAAATAAAAGTCCCCAAGTAAAGTAGAAAAGTGCCAATAACCTGTATTTAATAATTGTCTGAACAGTCATTCATATTTGTTCATATGTAAGTGAAATGTACTTGGGGGGGGGGGGGACTGGTCCAACTCAACGTGTCATTAAAATAAATGCGCCCGCCTCCCCAACGTAAAACCTACTGTATATCTGGCTTTCGGGGTCACCTTATTTTTCAAAATAGCTACATCTATGGCCTTTTATGTTTTTCTGTCGTGCGTAATGTGCGGCAGCCTATATCATAGGCTTTGTATTGGATAAGTGAACAATCATTTGTGTTTTTTTGGACTTAGGCTCATAAAATGTCTTTAATGTAGGGCTCATAAAATGTATTTAATGTATGGCTCATCAGGCTCAGGTAGCATTAGACTTAAATTTCATGCCGATCAAAGCTCTAATCAAATCCAAACATGTGCTTTATATGCTTTAGAATTACACTTCCGGTTTGGGCGGGAAAAACAGGGTTACCCTGGAGAAAAGTGATTATTCTCCGGATGGAACATTTGCAAAATACTGGGAAAATATTCAACCCTAGTCTGTAGTTTATTCTTTAGATGTTTGGGGCTGCTGGTGAACCATGATGTGCAGGCATAATCAAAGTGTCACTGGACTAGCGCACTTGCCATAGTCTTTAGGGTGTCAATAGATTTCCATCCAATTGGCGACAGATTTTCATGCGAATATTCTAAAATCTGCATAAAAACAATATGCACATTTAAGGGTTTCCTTTAAGAATATTTGACGCTGGACAACGTGACCGGAAATATTTTATTTTACCAGACATTTGGTAAACGAGGAATATTGGCCAAATGAACCACATTTACGTGTCCTTAAGAACGGACTATAACAAAGAAAATAAAACACTATTCCTTGTGTTTCGATGTGTAGCATATGCAAAACTTTATAGCCTATTTTTTAAAATAGTTTTTTTGGCTACTTTCCTAAACAATAATTGTCATTTCGTGGTTCAGCTGTCGGAGATTTGAGCACTACATGCATCAGGGCATTGCATGCATAGGCCTATAGGCTTAGATGTCCACTGTATGATAACGCCAAGGTAGTGGGTTCGATCCCCGGGACCACCCATACACAAAAACATGTATGCACGCATGACTGTAAGTCGCTTTGGATAAAAGCGTCTGCTAAATGGCATTATTATTATTATTATTATTATTATTAGATAGACAGAGAGATATAGATATGCAGGCGGCATGCTAAGACACCGACATGCATTTCTTTATGTCAGATGGCTAACGTTACTGTGTCTGCTATACAGATATAGACTTACAGAAGGAGGTTCATTCGTTAGTTTTCGATCAGAATATTTTGTATAAAGATAAGCATTATACTGTTAGATTATAGGAGTAACTCTGGTAGGCCTGAAACGTTTTTCCTCACCTCAAATTCAGCGCCAGTGCATACTGCCTTCATATCATAGGCTTGCAGTAGCCAAATCTTAACAATAGCCACACCACACCAAACGTTCACAAACGTTTTTATACTTTATTAGGGTAATATCAAAAGTAAGTCAAGCCATTGTTTATATGGAATATATCAGCAGGCTATTATATTGCGGAAAACACAGCATTAAACATAATTTGGCCAAAGAAAATGGCTCAACAGAATGAAATAAAACAATTGCGAACACGTTTAAACCTTCACAAAAGTTTTGAACAGGCTATATTGCAGCAATTACCAACAACGGCAAGGGCCTACCATACCCAACAAATGACAGAAATAGGCTAATTTTATTTATTTTACAACAGACCTACTTATAACCTATCTTAAACTAAATATGGAGCACACTATTAAAAAGACAGATCGAATTTAATTTAGCCAATGAAAATGTCTCAACAGAATTAAACCTTTTACTGCAGTTGGCTAAATCAGAGTCACACATAGTCTTTAAAAAAAAACTACTTTGAAACCAAAGTATACACCACACACACATGGTTATGGGCTTTTAAAAAAGAAGACACCTGTAACATGTCAAATATAGAGTAGAATTTTGTATTATTTTTTTTTATTTAGTTTGCAACCCAATATTACACTTTATATACATCACATAAGACTGAAATATAACAAAACAGTTTGACATAGAAACACCAGATTTCCGTCTGGTAAAAAAAAAAAATATGTTTATTAATTATGAAATTATGAAAAATATGAATAACATTCCACCCATGAGGCCACTAGTCATTTGACCGCAGGAAAGGGTTACACAAAACAGGTGTTGCATATATATATATATTTATTTATTTATTATTAATAAATCGGCTGACAATAATAACAATGATATACAATAATAATAATAATAATAATGATAAAACAACTGATTATAAATAAGTTCCAAAATTGCATCCTACCTGAATAGGGAGTTGCACAGTAGCCTGTATTTGGCCATGCCAATGTTCTTCTCATCTTCCACTACAATATTACAACTAAGATTAATTTCCCCTTGTAGGCTTTTCACTATAGGCATGCTCTTTTTCCTCTAACTTTTGTTTTACTTCAATGAAAAAGGCCTCCATCTTCACAATCAACAGTAGTCTAGGACGAGGCTCCTATCTTGCTCTCTCTCTCCTCAGCAGCAGGCTCACTTGCCCGCAAGGCATGAGATAATGGTGCTGAAGCACACATTCGGGGTGTAGGCTATGATAGAGAGCCTCTCCTGGACAATTTGGCCAACTACAATTGTATTTATTGGCTTTTAATTTTTTAATTGGCTAAATTCCGCAATTACCCGCAAAGGGAAACCCTGGCGATTTTTTTTTTTTTTTTTTTTAGTCATTTAGCAGACGCTCTTATCCAGAGCGACCTACAGTTAGTGAGTTATTATTATTTTTATTTCTATTTTCACCATCAGAGTTGTGTTTCCATCAAATGTACATGTTGCAGATAAAAGTCTGTGCATAAATATGACATCATGGGAAAGCATGCAGTTTGTTTGGCTACAGATTAAATAAATGATGATGAACTTCACAGGGTGGTGAAAGTGCAAGGTGATGAGCTTGATGACCCTTTCCAATAAATATCGAGGGTCTTATTCTGGTGACATGATAATCGATGCTTGGCTGCCTTTTGACAAATAAAAATCATCTCGTTCTTTTGTCCATAATAATAATCTAATCAGGAAGGCCAGTGGTTCCCAAACAAGGGGTCGTGACCCCATGTGGGGTCGCCTGATATGAAAATGGGGTCACAGGAGAATTTCCAAAATCTTGAAAAAATATACATATATTGCCTAAAAATACATATGTACAGTACGAGTCAAAAGTTTGGACACACCTACTCATTCAAGGTTTTTCTCTATTTTTACTATTTTCTATATTGTAGAATAATAGTGAGGACATCAAAACTATGAAATTACATTTTACATACAGTGGGGAAAAAAAGTATTTAGTCAGCCACCAATTTTGCAAGTTCTCCCACTTAAAAAGATGAGAGAGGCCTGTAATTTTCATCATAGGTACACGTCAACTATGACAGACAAATTGAGAAAAAAAAATCCATAAAATTACATTGTAGGATTTTTAATGAATTTATTTGCAAATTAAGGTGGAAAATAAGTATTTGGTCACCTACAAACAAGCAAGATTTCTGGCTCTCACAGACCTGTAACTTATTCTTTAAGAGGCTCCTCTGTCCTCCACTCGTTACCTGTATTAATGGCACCTGTTTGAACTTGTTATCAGTATAAAAGACACCTGTCCACAACCTCAAACAGTCACACTCCAAACTCCACTATGGCCAAGACCAAAGAGCTGTCAAAGGACACCAGAAACAAAAGTGTAGACCTGCACCAGGCTGGGAAGACTGAATCTGCAATAGGTAAGCAGCTTGGTTTAAAGAAATCAAATGTGGGAGCAATTATTAGGAAATGGAAGACATACAAGACCACTGATAATCTCCCTCGATCTGGGGCTCCACGCAAGATCTCACCCCGTGGGGTCAAAATGATCACAAGAACGGTGAGCAAAAATCCCAGAACCACACGGGGGGACCTAGTGAATGACCTGCAGAGAGCTGGGACCAAAGTAACAAAGCCTACCATCAGTAACACACTACGCCTCCAGACACTCAAATCCTGCAGTGTCAGACGTGTCCCCCTGCTTAAGCCAGTACATGTCCAGGCCCGTCTGAAGATTGCTAGAGTGCATTTGGATTATCCAGAAGAGGATTGGGAGAATGTCATATGGTCAGATGAAACCAAAATATAACTTTTTGGTAAAAACTCAACTCGTCGTGTTTGGAGGACAAAGAATGCTGAGTTGCATCCAAAGAACACCATACCTACTGTGAAGCATGGGGGTGGAAACATCATGCTTTGGGGCTGTTTTTCTGCAAAGGGACCAGGACGACTGATCCGTGTAAAGGAAAGAATGAATGGGGCCATGTATCGTGAGATTTTGAGTGAAAACCTCCTTCCATCAGCAAGGGCATTGAAGATGGAACGTGGCTGGGTCTTTCAGCATGACAATGATCCCAAACACACCGCCCGGGCAATGAAGGAGTGGCTTCGTAAGAAGCATTTCAAGGTCCTGGAGTGGCCTAGCCAGTCTCCAGATCTCAATCCCATAGAACATCTTTGGAGGGAGTTGAAAGTCCGTGTTGCCCAGCGACAGCCCCAAAACATCACTGCCCTAGAGGAGATCTGCATGGAGGAATGGGCCAAAATACCAGCAACAGTGTGTGAAAACTTTGTGAAGACTTACAAAAAACGTTTGACCTTTGTCATTGCAAACAAAGGGTATATAACAAAGTATTGAGAAACTTTTGTTATTGACCAAATACTTATTTTCCACCATCATTTCAAAATAAATTCATAAAAAATCCTACAATGTGATTTTCTGGATATTTTTTTCTCATTTTGTCTGTCATAGTTGACGTGT